GAAAAAACAAACAAACAGAGGGAATGGAAGCAAATGCTGTTGAATGACAATGCATGGAGGGGTTTACAATCATTGCAATGAAATGAGGTACAACAGGATGAATGTAAAGCTGATGTTTTCCCACGTAAACTATCAATCAATTCACAATTAAAACAAAAAGGGTAAAAACAAAGGGTGAAACCAAAGGAAGGCATACAAACTTATCTTTAATAACATCATATCATTGGTATAAGTGTACAGCTACCCAGTGGGACTACTTAATTCATGATTACATAGAAAATGACCTCCAATGTGTTTCTTCTGAAACAATCAAGTCAGAATCATCAACCATCTGTATGATGTAATAAGATGGAAAAAGGAATGAGGAACTGACAACATACCTCACAGTGGGGTTTCAAAATTTTTGTGGCAAACTGGATAATTAAAAGATAGTAAAATTTATCCATTAATTTTATTTTTTTTTTTCAATTATTTTCCACAAACTTTTTGAAGCATCCTTGTATATGCTAAGCACAATGTACATTTATGTTTAACCCTCACAGGGTAACAACTATGGAAATAACTATTACCTCCACTTTATATCTTCCAAAAGGAGAACTGGTAAGGCACTGGGCTAAGAGTTGGGCTGGCTTCATTCACTCCATCTCAGTATCCAGATCCCAAAACGATGGAATGAGGCAGAAGCCAACCAAGTCAAGCAGTCCATAGGACAACCGAGTAGAACGAAAAGAGAGAATACCATAAACATGACAGGCAAAAATAATCGAAAGTAAAGGACGGTCAGAAAGGAATATGGTCTAACAGGAAACAATGATCAAGAAGCCAGGAGAGGCAGCTTCGAACTGTCTGCATCTTAGTGGGCATCAGTTCAAAACCTTGCCCCCAGCTTCCCATACTTACAGTCAGATTATCCGGGTCATTACAATCAAGCGTTATTATGTAAGGGTCAAATCCAACATCCGTGGACTCTTCTGGGTCATGGGGGTCAATTACCTCTGCTATATAAATGAATAATAGATCAACAAAGAATAATGATAACCATGCACCATGTCAGAACTCTCTGGAGTTGTTATGGGTTGTATATGGGTGATGTAGAGCCACTTTTTGGTTAGAATTGATAGTAAGGGTTCTTCCTCAAAGCTAAAAGCAGCAATCTATGGGCACTCTGGAAAACCAACTAGGGAGTCAATTCATAAAACATACCTAATGTAGTAATGCATGGATGGCTTTGTGGACAGTAATGGCTTAACGCAGTATCTGGCAGGACCCTCCACTCCCCACCCACCTTTTTATTCCCAAATCATTTCCAGTTTACTCAGAGATTTTATGCAATGGGGAACATCACTGAAGACTATTAATGGTTTTTCTTTCTCCAAAGATAAAAACAATAGTATTAAATTCCTGTAGGTTGTCAGTGAACTCTCTGAGGAAAGATTTTGTTATTGTTTTCATAAGGAATTCAGATTGTGAATTTTATAATTTCCAAATATGGCTACCTCTTTTTTTGCGTGATTACTAAGAAACTCAGTCTTTTTTTTTTTTTTCCAAACTTACCAATAAATTCTGAGGAATCTTCTTTTGAGTCAGGGAACACCTGAGAGGAGAGCCAAATGCATTTTTAAAAGCAATAATCTTTTATCTAACCATCACTACTATCTAACCCTAGAACATATGTGTTTACTTACATCCACATACAAACACACACACATACATACAATGGTACTTCACACACACACACAAAACCCATGGAAAACTGCATTTATCTTTTACTTCCATTTTTCTATGAACTTTAAAAAATTCACTCAGTATCACTTAAAGCTCAAAGTCCAGAAAATTGATAATTAGAAGAAATCAATTTGTCCCTTTAAGGCAGGGGTAGGGGAAATCCAGCCTGAGGACCACATAAAGTCCATGCCAAAGCAACCATAGTTCCAGCCATCCAACGATTTTTATGTTTTATCTTTTTCTAAGGCCGATGAACGATGTTATAAATATCCACATGTCCCTTGGCAGAAAAAGAGGGTCCCCACGCCTGTTGGAATCTTAAGGTGGTGCTGTGGGCTATTGCGTCAGATAGTAAAGTCATTTGAACTGCAAGGTCAGTGGTTCAAGCTCACCAGATGCTCCTTGGAAACCCTATACTGGGTAGCTATGGGACAGAATTGACTCAAGGGCACTTAACAACAACACCCTTAAGGAATCACTTTACTCTCTTTCCAGAATTTCCACTTCCCTCCCATGAGTACCAACCATCTGTTCTTTAATCTAATCCACTGGATCATGGCGTTTTCAAGGCCTCTCTTTGCTCTGCCCTGAAAGTAAAACTTTAACCTGAAAGTAAAGCTTTCAGGATAACTTCTAATCTACTAAATCTGCAGTGTGTTTCCACTTGCAAGACCTCATATCTCCCCTATACTCCAGGGTTGCCAATTTTGGGAATTGTGCCTTATCTGCAAGCAAATCCTACTTCTTCCTCAAGGCTCTGTTATTTGCTTTATGAAATGTAGAAATGCTTATGTTGATGTCTTTGTTAAAGACATCCTTACCATTGAAGGCCAATTCATAAGTGGTAAGAGGCAGGTGGTTTTATGTGAAATGACTGGTCTGGTTCTAACAGATTATCCTCATCCTTACTCATGAATTGTTCTTTTCATAGGGTTACTCTTTGAAAACTATGAGAGTGGTGAAAAATATACCTACGCCTTTATTAAACTAAAATAGCTCCATGTGAAACGGGTATGTCTCAACAAATCCTTCCATTAGGTCTATACACTTTTCTCTAATTCTGCCCTGAAGAATCCTGTGTTTTCTGATACACACCAGATCAAAACAGCAGTTTCAGCACCCTCAAGGGATGCAAATCTTATTTCCTTTAAATGTTGTTTGAGTTTTGGGAATAACAACAACATCAAAAAGTCTGAAGGTACAAGATCAGGGCTGTAGTCTGGATGGGGTAAGTTTCTCCAAAACAATTCTCACAGGATGGCCCAAGTTATCCAGAAACAATGTTATGGTTCTTGAATGTCATCAAGTTAGTTCTGACTCAGAGAGACGCTGTGTAAAGTTGTTGAGGAATGAGCAAGTACAATTTTCCTGGCCTTTTCCTCACACCAAAGCACTTTTCCACTTTCTTACAACTTCTTCCTAATCAGCCCCAATGATAATTTTATGTCCTATGAAAAATCCTTCAAGATTATCCCTTTGAGATCCCAAAAAGCAGTCACTATAAATGTATGACCAGACCACTATGCCTTGAGCGTATATAACTGGAACTACAGTAGCAATAATTTTTGACTTTCTCTCAAAGCTGTAGAGTCCTCATGTGGCATTCTAGGATATGCACTAGACTGCTAATCACAAGGTCAATGGTTCAAACCCAACCATCACTCGTTGGAAAACCCTATGCAGCATCACTATGAGTGGAAACCCACTTGACAGCACTTAACAACCACTTGTGAGTCCTGGTGTGGCACTGTACGATAAGCACTTGGGTGGGTTTGTACTGCAAGGTTGGTGGTTTAAATTTACCAATCACTATAGGTTGGAAATGACTTGACAGCACTTAAAAGCAACAAAAACAAGAACTTACTATGTATGGAGTCGTGATGTAATGCTGTAGGATAAGCACTGAACTTAGAGACTGGCGGTTCAAACCCACCATCTAGTCCTTCGTAGCTCGATACAGGGTTGCTATGAGTCAGAACTAAGTTGATGACACTAACAACTAACAACAATAGCATGTCAAGAAACAGAAAAGCAGATTACCAGAGACTTCCTCACTCAGGTCTCTAAGCATTTCTTAATATGATACTGTTTCCACACCTTTTCTATAGTATTCTATGTGTTCCTGTCACAGATGTCTTAGTCCTTTCTACCATCTGTGACAGAGAAATGCGTCTTGTTCTTGTAGAACAGAAGAAAAGATCACTGGGAGCCTGATACCATAGTAAACTATACCAGGCTCAGCCCATTGCCACAAGATAAGACCAGCAAGTAAAACTTTGGGAAACCTCCCTAATAAAACCTACCCCCAACCACTCCCCTGGGGCCAAGAGGAGCTGAGAGAGAAGGAAGCACCAAATGAACACCTCACAGTGAGTATACTTAGAACATCAGGAACAATGCAGCTAAGAGCTGACATTAATCCAGAAAACTTTTGCGTTGTTCACAACATATAGAATGATACATTTCAAAGCACAAAGAGCCCTTAAAAATCTTACACAACTGAGACAGATGATTCAACAACAGGGAGAACTTGGATTTGAACCCCAAATGTACAACTATTATATGCTATTCACATCCAAAGCCATTATAAGGAGATTTATAAGAGATGAAAACATATTCAAACAATCAAAAAGAAAATAAACCTATCACCTGACTCTCTTCTCCTAACACTGTAGTGGAAACTTGTGTTATGTTGAATTGCAAATCAAAGTGAATTTCTATTTTCATCACTTCTTTGTTGCTGATAATCATAGGCTTCTTCAGGCATATAATGAGAATCTTCACGTCCTTAGTTTCTATCAAAGAAAAATAAAAATATAAATGCATAACCAGGTACAAAAAGGTTTTTAATTTATGGTCTTTAAAAAATTTGTAATCTTAAATAACAGCGTGAGGATTCTTGTCAGCTGTCTAATAGAGTTCTCTGAAATAAGAAATTGAAAGAAATCATAGTAAATCAAATTACTTTAAACTTATTTCTATGTGATACATAAATATGCAAATATGATCCTGTAGAAAGACAAAGTTAGACAAGTGATTCACCTTAGAAAGGAAGCAATGGAGATAGAGATAGTGAATTCTGTAGCTTAATGACTTTTTAAAGATTTTTATGTGAATGTTGTTGTTATTAGGTGCCATCAACTCGGTATCGATTCATAGCCTATGCACAATAGAACAAAACACTGTCCTGCCTGGGCCAACATCACAATTGTTCCCAAACTTGAGCCCATTGATGCTGCTACTTTGCAAATCCATCTTGCTGGGGATCTTCCCCATTTTCTCTGACCCTCCACCTTATCAAACATGATACCCACCTCTAGTGAAAGTTTAGTCATCCTGGCCTCCAAGGAGCACTCTGGCTGCATTTCTTTCCAACACAGATCTATTGGTTTTTTTGGCAGCCCACGGTTCTTTCAATATTCTCACATGCATATGAAGTTATTGAAAATACGATGGGGTTTGGTCAGGCGCACCTTAGCCCTCAAGCTGACATCTTTGTTCTTCCACACTTTGGGAAGGTCTTGTGCAACAATTTGCTTAATGCAATACATCTTTTGATTTCTTGACTTCTGCTTCCATGAGTGTTGTGGCTAATCCAAGAAGAATGACGTCCTTGATAACTTCAATCTTTTCTGTTAAGAATGCTGTTTATTGATCAAATGGTGATGTCTTTTGTTTTCTTTACATTGAGATGCAAGGCTATGGTCTTTGATCTTTTTCTGTATTTTAAGTCCTCTTGACTTTCAGCAAGCAAGGTTGTATCATCTGTATATCACAGGTTGTTAATGAGTCTTCCTTCAATCCTAATGCCACATTTTTCTTCATATAACCCAGCTTCTTGAATTATTTGCTCAGCATACAGGTTGAATTAAGTATGGTGAAAGAATGTAACACTGGTGCACACCTTTCCTAATTTTAAATCATTCAGTGTTCCGATGTGCTGTTCCAACAACTGCCTCTTGGTCTATGTACAGGTTCCTCATGAACACAATGAAATGTTCTGGAATATACATATTTCGCAAGGATGGCCATAGCTTGTCAAGATCCATACAATCGAAAGCCTTTGTGTAGTCAACAAAGTATCATTTGCCACAGGTATTTTACTTCCCAATACATTAAGCATAATAGTCTCATTGTCTATACATCTCTACCTATATTCCTAACTCCATGTCCCTTTCCTTGAACACTCTGAAAATAAAATTCTCTAGGAGTTCTGTTGTGATGATATAGGATCATCACTGGACTATGAACCACAAAGTCAACAGTTCAAACCTAACCACTCCTCCTTGAAAACCCTTTACAAGATCTTGATGCGATGGCACTTAAAAAAAAAATATGCAAAAAAATGGGATAATCTGCATTCATTTCATTGGACTCCACCTAAAAGAGGAGAAATGGAGACTTTAGAGAAAGAGGATTCTTTCTCAGACAACACTATCCTTGAAGACAACAGTATTTTACAAAGACACAACAATCAGTTTTAGAAGACTTAGTCCCTGAGTAGGACACATTCAAGTTAATGGGAAAAACCAAGAATAAGAAGAAGGATGAAGTTCATGAACGAGCAGGCAAAGATTAGAGCCACTACCTTCATGAAAAGGACAGAACAAAGAGGAATACCGAGCGAGCTTCAAAGGTGACCTTACAAACTTGAGATGTATTCATTAAGTACAAGGAATGCTGGGGGCACCATAGGCTAAGAATTGACCACGCAGCAAGGTTGGCTGGTTCACACCCACCAGTCACTCTGTGGAAAACAAATGAGGCAGCTGCAGTAAAGGTTTAGTTTCCAGAACCCTACATAAGATAGGGCCATGATGAATTAGAATTGACTCAATGGCACTGAATCTAATATTTGGTATGTAAAGGAGCTTCTACAAGTTTGCATGAAAACATAAAAAAAAAAATTTCCACCAACTTTTTGCTGGATCGAATGGTATTTCTATTTTCAACCTTCTGAGGAAGCACCATATTGCTTTCCAGAGAGGATGGACCATTTTGCAGTCCCACCAACAATGCAGGTGTGTTCCAGTCTCTCCACATCCCCACCAAGCATTCATTGTCCTCAACTTTTTTATCTTTGCTGTTATTGCTGGTATGAGATGGTATCTCCTTGTTTTGATTTGCATCTCTCTAATGGTTAGTGAACGTGAACATTTCTTCATGTTTGTTGGCAGCCCGGATCTCCTCCTTGGTGAATTGTCTGTTCATTTCCTGTGCCCATTTCATAATTGGGTTGTCTTAGTTTTGGAGATGTGTAGTGTTTTCCTATATATTCTAGAGATGAGTCCCTTATCTGATATGTCATTGCCAAAGATTTTTTTCCAAGTCTGTGGGTTCTCTTTTTACTCTCTTGGTGAAGTCTTTGGAAGAACACAAGTTTTTAATTTTTAATATGTCCCGCTTGGCTATTTTTCTTTGTGTACTTTTCAAAATGTGTGGCAGCCTGTATATGCCGTGAATTAGTGCCCTCATGTTTGTCCCTATTTTTTTCATTGATGATCTTCTTAATTTTGGGATTCACATTTAGATCTTTGATCCATGTTGAATTCATTTTTCTGTATGGTGTGAGGCAAAGGTCTTGTTTCAGTCTTTTATGTATTGCTTTCCAGTTCTGCCAGCACCATTTATTAAAGAGGTTGTCTCTTTCCCATGCAATGTGCCTGGGCATTTTGTCGAAAATCACTTGGTTGCAGGTGGTTGGGTTGATATCTGGGTTCTACATTCATTTCCATTGATCAATTTCTCTTTCATTGTATCAGTACCAGGCTGTTTTGACCACCGTAGCTGTGTAGTAAAGTTTGAAGTCAGGGAGTGAGAGACCTCCAACCTTGTTCTTCCTTTTAAGCAGTTCTTTGTTTATCCTGGATCTCTATCCTTTCCATATAAAATTAGTAATTGTCCTTTCCATCTCTTTGAAGAATGTTGTTGGAATCTGGATTGGGGTTGCATTGTATGTATAGATTGCTTTGGGTAGTATTGACATTTTCACAATGTTGAGTCTTCCTATCCAGGAACATGGTATGTTCTTCCACTCCTGTAGATCTCTTTTGGTTTCCTGTAATAGTGCTTTGTAATTTTCTTTGTATAAGTCCTTTGTTTCCCTGGTTATGTTTATTCCTAGGTATTTCATCTTTTGTGTGGCTATTGTAAATGGAATTGTTTTCCTAATGTCTTTTTCATCGTTATTGCTGTTACTGTAGAGAAATCCAATTGATTTCTGTATGTTGATCTTATACCCTGCACCTTTGCTGAATCTTTCAATGAGGTCTAATAGTGTTTTTTTTTTTAACTGAGTCTTTGGGGTTTTCTATGCATAGGATCATATCATCTGCAAATAAGGAGAGTTTTACTTCCTCTTTGCCAATTTGGATGCCTTTGATTTCTAGGTCATGCTGTATAGCTCTGGCTAAAACTACCAGCACAATATTGAATAGGAGTGGTGATAAAGGGCATCCTTGCCTGGTTCCTGTTCACAGAGGGAAGGCTTTCAAATTTTCTCCATTGAGCATGATGTAGGCTCTTGGTTTTGTACATATGCTCTTGATTATGTTGAGGAATTTCCCTTCAATTCCTACTTTGTTGGGTGTTTTTATGAGAAATGATGTTGGATTTTGTCAAACGCCTTTTCTGCGTCAACAGATACGTAGTTCTTTTTTCCTTTTTCTTATTTATATGATGGATTATGCTGATCGTTTTCCTGGTGTTGAACCATCCTTGCATCCCTTTTATGAAACCAACTTGGTCAAGATGTTATTTTTTGAAGTGCTGTTGGATTCTGTTGGCTAGGATTTTGTTGAGAATTTTTGCGTCTATGTTCATGAGGGATATTGGTGTACAGTTTTCCTTCTTAGTGAAGTCCTTCCCTGGTTTTGGTATGAGGGTTATGCTTGCTTCATAAAAAGTATTAGGGACTTTAAAATCAGGTGGGA